TTCTCTCTGTCCCATATCTTGTTTCAAATGTAGGTCTGCATCTTGCGTGAACAAGCTTTAGTCCTTGTTAGCCTTAATTATGCAACTATTCGGATGGGCGCCACCTTTTGTTTTCATTCATCACGAGAATGCGTGGTACACTAACATGCAGTGTCAATGAAATAATTGTGTTGTCGCCGGTAGCTTGTAGTTAGCAAACCCTCACGGCATTATACCTCGCAAGTCCAAATGGATTTTGATGTGCAAGTTCGTATCACAACTGCAAAAATATGCTGGATTTCAGCTAGCTATCAAATGGATATGACTGTACGGAATTGTGGATTTTTTACACGACTACCAAGCAAGTTTGACGAATGGCTGATTTGCTCAATCATAGTTCACTGTACCTTCAAATGAAGACCAAGCTCTTAACCTTGGAATTGCACGTGTGAGACATTGAGGCAACTCCTCACCACAAGAAATCATTTCGTTCGAATGTACCTGGAACATCATCCGAGTACTGACAGGTAAGTTTCTAACGAATATTCTGTTTTGTAAAGGTTAGAGTTCAAATGTATTGACATCGCATATATTTTTAATTTGCCACCAGAAAGTGAAAACGTTCTGGAAGGTCCAATTTTACAAGTGAAAATGTTGAAGCAATTACAGAGAAAGCCTCAGAATTTTTCAGACCAGCCTCATTGGGTTTGTGGACAGGGTTTTCAGCGATGTGCAGATATGGAACTCTTTCCCCGTAAAGTTGTACACGAAGTGTCATTGTTATGGTTATTTTTAAACAAAAAGATTACTGAAATAACAAGAGTTAAAAGTGAGATTAAATAGGAATTAAACTGTGAATTTTAATAAGAAATAATCAGAACACAAATTGAGATACAATTATATAGCACATTAAAATGACCTATTAAAATTTAAAAAAGATGAAAGCCTGTTATTACAACCAAACATGAAACAGAAAATTAGAATACCATCCCGTGGAACGTCTGCAGTGGTGCCATTGACATTTATAAGAACGTTTTTCAAACGAGGTTGTGTAATATAATGTAATCGCTGTTTCTCTGTCTATAAGTCAACTTAAATTGGTCAGTTTTGCAAAGAATGTACGACTAACTATACATTCTTTTAACACATGTACAGATATGTACAGATGGCTGTACATTCTAAAATATGATCGGCACTTCATGGAGTAATGTCAGAAGAGTGGTTTAATTATTTCGATAATTCGCTTGAAAACCTGCCTGCAGGTTTTGAACTCTTCGGCTCGAAATGTCGTAGACAGGATACTAAAAGCCTATGCGTGGACGTCTGCCCCGGCCCCCACCCATTTGAAATCTTTAAATGAGAACAACCTTTACAGCGTGCAGTTGTGGTAGAGATTTTATAAATTTCAACTGAGAGTGATTAATTACAATCTTTTAGACTATCTATATTCCTGGCAACCCTGAATTTCTTTATCTTATTATTCAGAGCATATACTTTACATCAACAGTTGACAGGTTCATAAAAGGAATAACTGCCAAGAATCGGAGGTCTCCAAAATTATTTCCATACATTAATTGTATCCGAGTGAATGGGCAATTTTGACCTCTGTAAAAGGCGCAGTTCAGTTACTTGGCTTTGTAGTGACATGTTTGTGGCGTCATTGTACCAGTCTTCGTTACATCTGTGCCCGCTGTATTCCTGTGTAACTTGCTTTAGCAGCCAGATATTTGATTGATTCAGAATCATTCAGGCGTTGAAATCCGTCCTATCCACCAGTATGGTCAATAATTGGTGAGCATACTAGGTTCCCAGAGATGATTGGTCAAAATCTCTCTCTCAATAAAAAAAAAACAAAAAAAAACGAGTTCCGCCCATGGAACGTTTTTGCAGCGAAAAACAGTGACACGATGTTTGTAAATGCCTTTGCAGACGTTTTATAAAATACTTGTGACCAATATCAATGGGACCAGTTTTGGATATTCCATATCCAGATATTGTAACAAAAATTCTACTCGTCAATTACAATGAAATCTAATCATCTGACGTAACTATTTATACTCAGCGATAAGGGTTCCAAAGATTGGATTTGAGTGCATGAGATTGGGTTCTTTTGTTAGAAGAATATGAAGCCGTGCAAGTGAGTTTACACCAAATTCTATAAGTAAGCTACCTAGGGTCAAAAGGACCAACATGTTTCTTGTGATATGCATGCACTTAGTCCCGCGGATTTCGTGATAACGAGCCTAAAAGAATATTCATGACAACATTGAGGACATGTGGCCTGTTGTCAAAGGCGGGTCACATACGGAGTCGTGTGCGATAACATACACAATCAGTCTAAGTTGGCAAGAATTTCTGAATTTGAAAGCTGAATAGTCAGAGACTCAAGTTCAGGCGTTTTTTTTGTTTCACGGTCTTCATCATTAGAATTGGCACTGTCGGACTCAACAACAGCTATCCCAACGGGTCGACCAGAGTTATCGCGTTCATAATATTCATTGAGCATATTTTTCGATCTGGCCGGGGTACTGATAACATAATTGACATCGTTGAGTTTTTTTACACAAGTAGGGCCCTCTGAATTTTGCTTTAAGGGGCTCGCCAGGCAGAGACAACTGCACTAGCACTTCTTCACCAGATTTGAAGACGCAGACTTCAGACTTCTTGCCGGCTCTAGTCTTCGTTGTCTGCTGAGACGCCTTGAGATGTTCTTGTGACACGAAACAAGCTTTAGACAGCCTTTCCTTCAAGTTCGAAACATAGTCAAGCAGAATGGTTTCGTCGTCCTCCGCCAGAAACCTCTCCTTGATGAGTTTCATAGACCCCTCACCTCATGGCAAACTCAAACGGTGTAAACCCAGTTGACTCGTTCGGTGAGTCCCTAGTTGCAAACAAAGGAATGCACTTGTCCCATCCTCGCCGTAAGCTCTGATCATATTCTTGAGGGTTTGGTGATACCTCTCTAGAGCTCCTTGAGACTGCCTATGCAGATGATTTCACCTGCTTGATTCCCCACTCACGTAGGCCTTGCTGAAATACACCCGCCATAAGTAAGCCTTATCTTGTGAAGAACTGCATAAGACCCTCGACAACAACCTTGGCTGTAATTTTCCTAAGTGGAATGGCCTCAAGAAATCTAGTTGACAAATGCCCAGATTTCTTCCGCAGCAGAGAACCAACACAATCCACTAGGACCTCCAGAACATCCTGGGCCTCTTTCTCAGTTCACGCTGTCTGGACGAGCCTTCCTTAAATGTGGGTTCGCTTTCTGCTTCTCAGTGAGTAAGGATCGGCTAAACTTAGCATCTTGAGACACTCACACATCTTCTTCCAAATCGGTGAAGACAGTTTCAGCCAGCCAAAGTCCTCTTCTATCGACATGAACTCTGCAACCTCCTTTTCCAACTGTTTCATCTGAGATTTCGTCACTGCAAACCCGGGGAAAGTTTCTGGCAACTTCTCCAAGGACTGAATTTCTGGCTCCTCCGCAGGATCACCAGAGACATTACTAACTGGAGGGCCAAAATTTTGGAAAACTGTTCTAGTATTTCTTACGGAGGATCCTTTATTTTGGGGCCTCTCACACGCTTTGGGGAAGGGAGGGAAATAATTTGGCGATGACATCTGTGTGTGACATATGGGTGCACTGTACTGGCACGTATACACTCGTTTACACTCCTGGCTGGAGAGAGGCAAGCAGGGGTGAAGTAGCTTGCCAAGGGCAACAACATACTACTAACAGCTGGATTCGAACCTCCAACCCTATGACTGGAAAGTAAAGACCCTAACCACTTGGCCACATGCCACATGATGTGAAAGACACCCAACAATTGCCTTCATTTATGCCTTCAGGCAGACCTTAAATTGTATTTTTCCTATAACTATGACAAGATTTACCCATGATTCTTGTGTAATGATATATACAATGATTAAGTATAAGAAAAACGTATAAGCACATATTGTTTGTTAAAAATAATTACTAATCTACAAAACCATGATAAATATTGAGTCTACTAATCGCTAAATTAGCAGTTTTGAACATGGATGTTAATTCATATACATATGTAGATGCAAGGACCACTTTTTGTTGGCATTCTTTTACATTTCCATTTCTGCTCATGATTTTCATGCATCTCCTTTTCCCGTTCACCCTTTGTCAAGATTTAGCGTCAATTCTAATTCATGTAAAATAATCTCACGAGTCTACAATTTCTAAACTGTAAAATCAAGAGCGATCACATAATAGGCTCCTAAAAATACAAGTTTTTTTTCCTACTCGCATCAAACATCGATAACTTACAAGTTTAATAGCCTACTTACAAGTCACCAGAACCTACATAACCAGTGCTATTTGGATGGTGATTTCTATCTCCGGCGCTGACCATGTGTGAACGATAGTTACTTGACCAAGTCAAAGGATGGTCGAGAAGGCTGCCTATATATTTTCAAAGATACATTTTTCCAATTCACGACGCAAGTTCTGGCTAAGCATCAATCATGGTTTTTGTTACACCACTTAAAATGAAAGCTGCCACTGATACTTTGTTAATTTCAGTATTTTTTACTTTTTTATTTCAGCAACTGACACAAAATGACTGAAATACTGCATTCGCGGCGTACCCAATTTCAGACGTGTTCCTGAACGTACAGTATACATTCGAAATTTTAATAGGATGGCACCAGGTAATTTTGGGGAATAAAATCGTAAAATATAGTCTGGTTCTTTAAATTTAACGTCTTCAAATGAATACACTACGTTGGGGAATCTAACGGACGAGCTCCCCGCGAATAGGGCCTACTATGGCCCTGTCCGAAATTGGCTTTCAGATCTAAGGCTTTGTCTTTTGTCCTGGGATCTCCACGTATTTCCAATGGAATGAGGACCTAGACTTAGCACTAGACAACAGATTCAGCTGCAGCCTAAGTCACTTTCCCCACGAATGTGACGCGTATTCTTTTCGCTCTTTCATATGCCCCTATTGAAACGTTGCGTCGTTGGTAAAAATTACATCATCTAAAGAAATACAACCACATTGTACAACGTTACAATCATATTAATAACAAAGTAAACCTTAAACCATAGACCTGACGGATTTTCTCCTCCAGGTCTATGCTTAAACTATGACGTCCAAAATTGAGAACAGTTTGAGCGAAAGGTATACAATTGCAAAGACTTGACAATCAAATTGTACATGAAACTTAGAGGCACCCTAATCACAAAAAATATTCACATTCACTGATAAACAAAACACCAGCCAATCATCTTAATTTAATTATTATATGTTAGCTAGGACTGTGTCTTTCAATTTCTCCCTTGAGTCGAGACAGTGTTCGCCTGTTGGCCAAGCTACATCGAACACGACGTGGTCTATTACAAGCGTGCGATGCATGTACTGTGTGCAATCATATGCACACTGTACATGTAGGCGTTCTGGTGATGACGTCATCAAAGCAGCCTGGGAGCGCGAACCGCCAAAAGGGATTTTTTTTGTTGTTGGGGAAACGCAGGATCATTTTATTCAATGTGAGGTCACGATTAATGGGGTACATATTGAATTAAAGATGTTTTCGAAATGGTTACGTATTTATTGTTATTTTGCAATAGTTCGCGTGAACTAGGTCTAAGTGTTTTCTATTTCTGTTAAGTTTCTGTGAAGACTTTTCAATGTGTATCTTGATCAGCGGTTTCTATTGTGGGTCTCCAATCACTTTTAAGGAAAATATCGTCGCAGCTTCATTTCACATTTGACTATTCGATGGCCTTCCCATCCTGCCCATATTATACCACGATCATTTGGACCTTGTTGATATTCCCCATTCAGGCCGTACGGTGCACCAGAGGTACCATTGCATGTGTCAAGCCACCAGCCTCCCTTCAGCTCAGCTGCACAATTAGAATTGGTATCCTCATCATTGTCCATGTCGTATGTAGAGAAGCTTCGCCCGTTGAGTTGAGGAGGGAGTGGATCTGAGCAGACGCCACAAAGAAAAGCAACACAGATGTTCAATAATCCACTCTTACTAATTTGACAATAGGGATGGCATTGAGAAAAACGAAAAATTGAGAGAGAGCAAACAGACATTGCAGTGTTATATCTATCTGTGGGCTTTGCGATCTTACTGAGGACAAATGGCGCCACGATTAAATGTCAGAGAGCTGACCTTGGGCAAGCTTTCCCATTAGCATTGTGGATTTTGTCCTGAAAGCAGAGTTTGCTTAGTTGCTGTGAAAACATCGATAGAATTTATTACATCCCAAAGTATTCAATCCGGAAGCTGAGAAAGAAATGAAAAAAGGTGTGTGGGGGGGGGGAGTCCGACATCCCGGACAAATTAATTCAAGTTTGTCTCTGTCATTTAATTAGTGTACTGTATCTGCATGTTGGACTCATACATTGTCTCTTATTATATTTTAACACGAGGAAATGAAATTGAAATAAATTGAATATATCATACCAGCCTGAAATGGTCCACTGTTAGTCCAAGTGTATTTGCTGCCGCTGATGCTGAATCCATAGGCCTGGATGGTTTGATGCCTAGCCCGGTCATCCTCCAGATCTATCCGTAACTTCCACCTGCTCTTTGACGTTAGCTTACAAAGTTTCTGGTTTCCCAGCCAGAACTCGCCCTTCAGATCGCCGAATCCGTCCCGGTACTCAGTCCAGTTGCGATTGAAATTCACCGACCCGTCAAAACGCCTCTGAAACACCTTTTATGAAAAAGGTTTAGGTTTACGGTGTTGAACTACCTCAGACAGTCTCACTTCAACAACGCTCTGGCACCTTGTTGCGAAACAGTTTAAAGAGCACCTCCATAAGGAAAACATGTTTTCTCTAATTTTATCTGTTCAAGTATATATGGAAGCATCCAAATTGAACGCAGTGTTATTTGTCTTCAGAGCTCAACTATAACAAGCTAAAAAGGGCTTTTTCTGTTCACACCAAGATGTGAATTCTAAATGCTGACTGCGTCATTCGACGAAAACGATGGGAACCCGCGCCCTGTGTTCGTCGTGGATAAACCCTTGTGCCTGCCAAACAGTGGCTACAAATAATGGCTACATGCAACTTGTCCATGAAATAGACAAGTGGTGTTCTGGAGAAAAAAAATTTAGAACAGAATCGTTGGAAATTTATCGTATATTGACTTCTTTTGTCTCTCTAACCAAGAAGGTATTTATGAATGGGAACTGAACACTGATGGTGCCGTCGTCGCCCGCAGCTCAAGCCTTTAGTTCATACCCTTAGTTTTACCCTTTGCTTATAACTGAGCTGAAGTAATCATTTTCCATACTTTGCTCACGAATGGCTAACTTAAGTCTAGTGTGTAGAATAATGTTGATTGTGAATGTCGATTCTTATAAGAAACACCAAGTTTTTGTCTTTTGTCAGTCTGGTAAAACAAACTTACAATCCAGCCTTTGTATGCAGCGTCCATATCACAGTAGACCTTCACGTCGACAGGGTACCTCGGCGTGCAAATGGTGTACACACCACTCATGGTGGCACCAACTGTATACCAGTAACGGCAATCTGAGGGGAAAATTGTGTCTTGATTGGACATTTTCAATGCATAGTATAGGGTACGTATTCCCAACTGATGCATTGAAGGTTAACAATATAATAGGAAAACAATAGTAATATTTCCAAAGGCTCGATCTGTCTTATTGCTCTGTCTTCTACTGGCCTGTTTTCTTCAACATTTTGGAGGTTTGGCGCTTTCTGATGTATATTTAAAATGGCATACTTATGGCTTTTTAAGTTGTTCTCCTTTTTGAGTGATTTTGAAGGTAGTTTAGTCGTTGGAAGCCTGGAATTTATTTTTGAAATATCCACTCTAATCATTTGCTCGCCATAAAATATGGGGGATGATTCAACAGCCCACCACCACCTCAAAAAGTGTGTGTGGGTCATATACCTCCCATCCCCCGTGATGTACGCCCGTGGGGATTTCCTCTTCTACGATTTCGGCTCTTTCAAGGCAAATACCCTTCAGACATGACGTGTACAGTCAAAACATCAATTTATTTACATAAAGCTGTGTGATGTGGCCTATACCCAATACTGGTGCCCAGCAGGGTATGTTTTATCATACCCAGGTCTTTGCACACTTTACACCAGCGATTTGAGAAGCAACACTGGTGAGTGTTCCATAGTCAAATATGTTGACGACACTTCATAAACAGGATTTATTAATCATGATGATGAGACAGAATACAGAGAGGAAATTGCTGGTTTTGTGCAATAGTGTAAGGAAATTTTCTGGTGCTAAATTTTAAAAAGATTAAGGAAATTTTGTTCAATTTTTGGAAAACTCAGAAGGAGATCGTTCCTGTTAAAATAAATGGTACTTGTATTGAAGTGGTCAATCATCATAAGTACTTCGGTCGACACCAGCCCATCACCAGTTACCAGTGAGGGATGGGAAAAGCAAGGTAGCACTCACCTGCACCCCCGCCCCAGGGAAAAATAATGGGGAAGAAACAAAAGACAACAAGGAAGAGGGGTCAATATCACAAATTTCCCTCAAATTCCCCACAATGGATCTCCCACCCATTACTGTTTGAAGAGTTAATGTTAAGTATAGGCGTGTGAGGAAGCAGGTACATTCTGAATGAGACCGACTATTGTTGTACAGCCATTTAGCCTAAAGTGACTTACCATAAGGGCGGAAGCGACGCAGCCTCATTTCACTTCTCCAGACTTGTCCAGTGGTCTCGACGCTGCCGTTGTATGACCAGGTAAAACCACGGTGATCGAAGTTGGAGGATTCCTCAGGAAGCGCATACGCGCCGTTCAGATTGGTCAATAAATCCAGTTTAGAGTGACACTGGTTAACCCACCAACCTCCTGTCGAACTCGCAGCACAGTTGTGATAGTAGTCACCATCGTTGTCTTTATCGTACGTCGAGAACTGGCATGGTAGCTGGCTTGTTGGCAAGGGGGAATTGCCTATACAGAAAAATGCAAGAGTTCCTTCTGTGATCAGTAAATCCAAATAATTTTTGTTTTCATTGTCAGCCAGTATGAAACCCTGAAAAATCTGCAAGGTTTAACTCCTGTGAAAATCTGTTTCAAAATTTATTCAAAGACCATTTGAAATCCGTGTGAACGACGTAAGTTGGAAATGGCAGATTTGGAGTAGATTTGGAGTAGGGATATGAGGATTCTACATCACCGGACTATTTCCTTGTGACCTCCTTTAGGTATCCAGCCTCATTACTCCCTGAGCCCCATTCACGCCACAAGGCTGCCTCTCGCTCATTTGTCTGTTGGCCCTCTTGCGCTCACTTAAATGAAATTTTGAATTAAAATAGTCCCAATCTAGATTTAGTGAATGAAGACTAATTTATTCGACTCAAGACTATTTTATTCGGTCTCATTACCCCCTGCCCATAACCTTGCAGCCCTTCACCTTGCGGCTCTCTGAGTCGGTCGTACCTGCATAATTAGTTCTCCGACATATAATAAGGAGGAGCGCTAGGGTAAACACCTCCGAAGGGCGCTTTGCGGTCCTGAAGAATTATTAGCTTCGGCCATACTCGGATTTGGTTGTGATCGTTTACTGGCATATTTCAGCAAAGCGTATGCACCACATCCAACATGGCGTCATACCCAATGTTTCGACTCCGTATTCCACGTAGCCAAGCGCGGTCAATAGCCTCTTGATTTTTTTGTGCGTAGTTTCTCTCGCATTTCTTTCTGCTGAAATTGTGCTTTTTATTATTCATTATTCTCGTTCTTTTGTAGGTATTATCTTCCAAACATCCTCCTTGAATAAACCTCAGCGCAATGTGGCGGGTTTCCCTAATAGTATCGCCTATTTCTCTAATCCAAACCAGAATGTAATAAATCATGTTTTTTGTTGCTGAGTAAGGCTTTCTTCCAATTTATTGTTCCAAATAAAATATTGATTGTTGATGTGCCTTAGTTTCTGACTAATGGTTCCGCCAAATTCTTCTAGATTTCCTGCCTCGTAAGCTCGGCTAAAACCGTTTATTACGTCATAAAACAAGGTTAAAATTTCTCCCTCTATTTCTGATAACGGTATTACAAATCTACTCGATTCTAAAATACCATTATCAAAATCTTCTCTGGAAACCACTTCGCACCCTGTGCGTTTCGTTTCTGCCAGTTTCGCCGTGTGCCCTTCGACACCGTGTCTTGGGGTCGACCGTTTGATTGCCCTCCGGGTCCCGTTTTTGCAGGTCTGCCATTTCAAACAAGTTTGCAAATCGCTTTCGGTGGAGTTTGTTATGTTAGAATATCCAGGCTGGAAACTTACTTTTTTTAACGCAAATAGTTTTGTCACAGCCTTTATAAATAGGTGTAACTGAAGCATGTTTCCACGCCCTAGGGTATTGCTCGTGTTTTATTGAGAGATTGAATATATGGGTTAACGACTTGGTATAAGGAAACTAATAGAATCGCTGGGGCAAGCTTTCACCAGCTTATCGGGCGATGCTGCCATAAAGGTAAACGAGTCTATGAAATGGCCCTTTATTTATGGACTTTAGTTCGGCGGGGGTTTGTGATTAGATTGCTTGCATAATTATATTGTGAAAAACGACGGGTATAGGTGTTTTGCCCGCAACGATCTGAAGTTTGGAGTTACAATAAGCAGCACCTCTGTACTTACCCGTCAAGTGACAGTGATCTGTAACTTTTCTAAACTTGTTGATTTTCTTGTCGTAACGCATACAATTGTATTCTTTAAACACTTTGTCCTTTACCAACGAATAAACTTCTTTTCCTTCTTTGTTTCTGGTTTTAGTTTTTTTACACTGACAATTTGTCTCACAGTTTGGATAAATCAGTTTTTTACAGATCCGACAAGTGTTGCAATTGTTAAACCGTTCTCGTCCTTTTTGAGTCCAGCGGGTATAGGATTTGCAAACATGTGGTTAATTTATTCTTGTGTTTCAACTGAAGAATTTACAAAATGAGCAGCTGCATCTTTGTGCTCATCACATCGAACAACTCCAAAAGAATAGCCACAGGGTTTATACGTGTTTACGGGGGGTTTTGTTCCGCTTTGCTCGCTTTTTTCCAATACAGATTCAAAATCGGCATAAATCACCAAAGGTGTTTGTCGTCTGTTCTTAAAGTTTCTAAACTTTGTGGTAGTTTTTCTTTCTCGATCTCAAGTAATACAACTTTAGATGGCAATCTAGTTCGTGAAGATCGAGTTTTTGCTAGTCATAAAAATACGAAAGACACCAGAGGCAGAAATCTTTCTTCTTCTTGTTTATGTCATGAAATAAGCTAGAATTATTTTTATAATTCACCAATAATGCTTTTTAAACGGGGGGGGGGGTTGGGGTCGCTAAACAAAAGTAAATTGATTGGATCGCTTACGCTGGCTTGAGGGCTTGTTTCCCTTGTGAGGTAATTTTTTAATAAAGAGGAAAAATTCTTTCTTTTTGGGTAGACCTATGTCCAAAACGTTAATGCTTAGCTCGTTTTGGATTTTTTTTTTCGTGCTTTGGTCGATGGGGGAGGGGAAGTCGATATTTCTAAAATTCAAGCCGTCTTCGTGAGTATAAACCCCAGGCATTCAGTATGGATCTAATAACTCGGGTTTGCCGCTATTTTTTGTATGATTTCGTCGGTATCAAGTCGAAGCGCGGCCCCTAGACACCACCTGATACATTCATTGTCGTCATTTCGGACACTAACGATTGCTTTTTTATTTTGGAGATATATTGGCAGTGGGATATATGAGCTGATATATGAGTGGCATAAAAATAAAAGGCAGAAATTAATTTTAATTGTAAACCAGAGCTCCTTTGTTCATAGTTTTCAATCTTAGACAATAAACCTTTTTTGGGGTTCTCGAGGATAAACGGAATTTCAGTTTCGTATAAAACCACTATTTTGCGGATTATTTTGCGTAACATAAATGATCACGTGGCTTTGTGGGTTTTGTTTTATATATTTCACTTTGATCGCTGTTTGCAGTTTAAAGCCTTTGAGTTCTTTAATTACAGAAATTACTTTGGCTTTTATTTTTGACTTGTTATGACTGACAAATTTGTGCCCGTCTGTGTTAAACAGTTTTGGTATAAGTTCAAAATTTATTTAGCTGTTAATATATCTTCTCATTTTTCTAAAGTCGACTTCTCTGAACGACTCTGGTGTATCATATTCCTTAACGGTATTAACGAGGTCTTTTCGGGGCAAACGACCTTTTATACCCGTCCCTACAACGTGCAAGTTATTATTTTGAGCGATTTCCAATAATTCGTAATAGCTTGTCTTGCTAAATTTCTAAACTGCTTTGGTTTTGTTTAATCGTTTTGATATAATCTTTCCTAAGGGGGTTTGTTTTCTGGCATTGGTGTATTTTGCGCCGTGATATAATCTATTAGCATAGATTTGCTACATCCTACGTACGCCGTTGCTAATGGTGTCGACATGTGCTATTATAACACACAAGAACATTTTTAAAAGAAATTGTCTTTACTGATAGTCTATTTGAATTAAGCCGTTTTTTTCCATTTTTTTATAAGACATTCAAACAGTAATATTTCTTACGAGAGTGTTTGCATTTTCTAGCGAAACATACCAAATAACTTGATCTGTATTTACTGTGCTCACAATATAAATATTTGTTTTTCACTCGTCGCAGGTTCGTTTAGTTTTACTGTGGGGACACATTGGTACGCATTCGACACATTGATATTTACACTTACCGTGTAGGCCTATACACGGATGTGTAACAAATATTACGCTAATTTTTGTTTCCCTTCATTTGAAATTCGTCGATACGTTTTTCTTGGCGACAGATTTTTCACACGCGTTGTTCGAGCATTTTGTAACGAGTGATCTCTACTTCATAATTACAATTTTCGTCTTATATTGAGCACAAATGTTCTTGAACAGAGACCGGTAAAGGTAAAGGTGAAGGGCTGCAAGGTTAGGGACCGAGTAATGATACTGAATAAAATAGTCTCGAGCCGAATAAAGTAGCCTTGATCCAGTTATTGTAGATTGAGACTATTCTGATTCAAAATTGTATTTCTGTGTATGTCGTCGCCCCTAAAGCTCCACGAGGCTAAAGGGCGCAAGATAAAGGAGGGCGAGCTAAAGTGAGCGCGAGAGAGCCGACAGACAAATGAGCGAGGGGCGGCCTTGTGGCGTAAATGGGGCTCAGGGAGTAATGGGGCTGGATACCTAAAGGAGGACACAAGAGGAAATAGTGCGTTGACGTAGAATCCTCATATTCCTACTACTCCCTACTCTGGTGCCATTGCTGCCTAAAAGAGGAAACATTATTGTGAATAACCATACCTATTGATCCCTTTACCAGGTTGTAGTTGTCGCCCTCTACACGGAATGGCCATCGGTACAAAAGCTTTGTATGCCCATTTGTGCCGGTGAACTTCAGATCAGTCTGTAGCAACCATTCTTTCTGCGATGTTAACTGACGAAGTTTCTCGTTTCCCAGCCAGAACTCGCCTGTCAGATCGCCGAATCCGTCCCGGTACTCGGTCCAGTTGCGATTGAAATTCACCGATCCATCAAAACGCCTCTGAAACACCTACAATGAAAAAGCTTTAGCTTTACGGTGTTGAACTACATGCCTGTAAAATTTAACCTTGGTAACATGTAATTTAAGTCAAAGTCCGTCAAATGCACATTCTGTGAAGGATGAGTTTTACATTGTCAGTTTTTTTCATTTTCTAAAATTTTTTATCAGTTAAATTGTCAGGAACCAAAGCATTAACTCACCCCTTGAAAATCAAAGGTCATTTATTTTGATCGTGAAAAGTTCGGTTCTATTAAAAAGTCGCCTTTAGCAATTTGGTTAAACAAACTTACGATCCAACCTTTGCCCGCAGCATCCATATTACAGTAGACCTCCAGGCCATCAGGATATTTCGACGGGCAGATGGTGTATACACCGCTCGCGGTAACACCAATTTTATACAGGGAATTGCAGTCTGAAAGGAAAAGTGGGGCGTATGTCTTGAGCGAGCATTTTGCATTTGTGGTTAATTAGACAAACGATAAAACTATTGCGAAAGGCTCTATTTTTTCCTCCGCCTTAAACAGACCCCCTTTTGTTCAAAAACCTGAGCGCTTCTTGAACAATGAAAGGAAATATTATTAATCCTCTTTAAAGTGGACGGATACGTTTTTCTCTCTTACATTTGAGGAGGGTGATCTCATTTATCACAATATTGGCTCTCCAATGAGAGATGACCTTGAAACCTGACGTGTACTATAAAGACATACATTACACCCTGAAAGAACATGGTCAGTAGAAAATGAACATTTTTATCTACCTCTTTTGTTAAATATTGAGGTTTTGTGTCAACAGTTTGCTTAGTTTTATTACATCGGTTTAAAATAACTGCAAAACATCATCCAAGAAAACTCCTAAAATCGCAGCATGGAAAGTAAAAGAGACGCGTTTCGGCGATGTGTGAGTTAATACCTCGGAGAATTCCACCTCAAGCTCCTCCGTCAATAGATATGCGTGGGCTTCGCACTAGGGAGGGGAGAGCCGGGGGAAATAAAAATAAAAAGGAGAAGAAACGAAAAGGGAAAGCAGGATAAATGTGCATCCCATTCGCTAAATATACCTCGTAACTGACTCTCGGCTGCTGGGAAAATCTGTCTCCGCCGACGCCCTGCAGTTGTGCCAAAGTCGTCATTCGCGAGTCACTGTGATTAATCGTAAGCACTATTTCACCTGGCGTGGTCGTGGCAACAGCTGCGCTCGCATGGAGATTTCCGACATTACATCACCATATCAGGCAAATGTTTCATCCGAGGTTAGCGTGCATGTATGCCTCGTGTTGTGCTGTAGGCCTCGAGCCGTACCAAAAGAGTGCGCGATTTTCCTAGCAACGAAGGGTCCTTTGGTGACTTCTCTGGTTCACGAACGACTACAAGATACATCCGTTGCTTGCGCTTAGTCGGGTCATTCCATGAAGTTGGGGTACAATTTGTGACGGTGTCCTTGTTACATGAGTAGGCACCCTAACTTTCACCACCTGTC